AGTCGAGCCTCGATATATTCTTTAAATCTTCATATTCGTGAATTCTATATAATCGTGATATTCATCATTCCATCTCATCTCTCTCATTGTCCCACGATGCTGTGCGGTCTCAAGCATGCACTAAGCGTTTCTTCTCCCCGGCAGATGGCATCGCGAGCAAATGGAAGAAGTCAGGACTCAGTATTCCCGAGCTAGTGGAGGGTTTGAATAAGAGCGACATCAAATTGTTAGAAGAGGCGCTCGCCGATCTCGGTGCTCCGCCATCAGCCGTGGTTTCGCTTGGAGAACTTACGAAAAAGTTCAGGGCGGCATTTGAAATTGAAAACGCTGCAGAAAGAGACAAGGTCTTGGAAGAGATTATACGCAAAGCCGGGAAGGAGCATCGAGTCATGGCTCTGCGAGCCTGCGCCACGGCCATCCTCTACTTCGGACTGAGAGAGGACGACAAGACCCACTTCGATCAGGAATACGTCAAAAAGTACTTCGGCGAAATTCCGGGTCCCATGAAAGATTTGTTCGCCGAGGACATTAGCATACACGCATTGTATGCTCTGCAGATAGTCAATCATGACCTGCAACATCCTAAAGGTGAGCGCTTCGAGCTAGGCTGTTTATCGGTTGAACATCATGCTGGAGAGAAGCGGAACGATTATCGATCGATCGAACGAACGATTCTAATCCGATGCTTCTTAATTTCAGATGTCACTTCGAATTATTTGAACTTCTTATATGACACCGACCTCGTCGACGAAAACACGATGGTCAAGTGGGGGGATAACTCGCGGAGTGACATCAAACACGAACCAATCGGCTATCAAGCGACCATGCAACATGCCGCTCCGTACCTGGACTGGCTCAAAACGCCAGATGACCAGAAGGATTGAAGCACAAAATATAGACAGAAGCTGATGACAAAGGATAATGAAGATGATAATGATGATGATAAGGACGACGAGGAAGATGATGATGATCAAGATTATTGACGGCCGAGATTACGCTATGGAACAGGTTTGAACTCGAGTCCATCATCAAACAATCGATCATCGTTCATATCGTCGATAGAATCGATTGGTTGGCCGACCGACTGATCGATCGACCGATCAACTTGTCAATCATACAACGTTTTGGGGTTAGTTCAGTAACTTATAGTTTGTCTTGGTTCGACGGAGAGATAAAAGATTAAAAGGATCGAGCGTCATGCGGAGCGTCCAAACGGTTATTATCATCGTTTATTAACGGTTATTGCTCTCAGCATCATCATTATATTTATAATTATTATAATAATTATATATATAATAAGCAGTATCAGCCGAAATCGTCCCGCCCGAGGTCCTCCGAACATTTCTCTCTTCGTTCGTCAGACCTTGTCATTTGTTTCATAGTTTAGTTCCCCGATTCCTCCATTCGCCCGTCCGCCGATCGATCTGTTCTTACAACTGCTCGAGGATTCTCGCCTCGAGTTGCCAGGCGTCCCACGAAACTCCTCCGAACTCTCGAGCGGGCCGGGCCGAGCCCCCGCGAACTATACGGAAATGTTTCCGAGAATGGCGATGAGGACAGCTGTCGTGTTCAAAGGTGATGTGAATGGCGGTGAGCGCAATGTCGACGACAAAACTTAAGTAGCTTCCGAAAACGTCCGCGTGACCGTTTCCCCTGCGGGGATCATCCATGGGACGCATACCCCCGAGTGAATGTTCCAGTATGTTCTCACCCCGGACCTGCGTGCGAATGAGTGAATGAGAGAGCGAGTGAATGTTTGTGTGTGTGTGTGTGTAAGAGAACAAGCAAGCGACTTGGTATACGTGGTCCCTTCCTTTCTTTTCATTCCTTTTCGCGCTCCTCCTGTGAGCATTCAAAACATTACTCTTCGCCCTCTTTAGATAAATAAAATGATACCATGGCTGGTACTTGTCAATGGATGTTGTCCCGTTCCTGTTTTTCTGTGAGCACCTTCTCGATGGAAGGTGCCACTCGGACCGCATCGGAAACGTGCTCCGTTGACAAGAGCGCCTCGCTCTCATCCGTAGGAGTGTGCTTCTTCACGGCAACGCATCTATTGGGAGAAATCAAGCTGGAGAAGGAGCCTCTGCGTCTTGATCGCAGACACTTTGTTGTATTCTCAATCAGTTCCATAGGTATCATGGCAGTAAGCGTTATCGGTCGGTACCTTATTTCGGAGGGCTCCTCTTATTCAATTATGCTCGAGCAAGACTCCGAATAATTCTGTCTCGCTTTTTGTTTTTGAGTGTTATCCGAAGTTTGAATTATAAATGACATGAATGGAATCCACGGCTACCCACACGATGGGTAATAGATCTGTTCCTGTCGCCTGATCGAGCCGAGAGCGATCGTATGCTTGAGGTGCGAAAAAATATTCTAGCTCCCCCGGCTCAGATCCGACCCGGGAAGCATTCAACTGAATGAGCTGAGGCAGTGAACGGTTTTGATTCCCTTCACGTAGGAATGGAGGCGTGCTCGAGAGTCGGATTACTGATTGCTAACGTAGTCCAAGTTGATACAGCCTGCGCGGGAAGTGCTTCGGGAGGGAGTAGCGGTTCCATTCACTCAATGAAGGCCGAAGGAGGTCGCTCGCGATCTTCACATAGCGGCAGATTCGGAAGTCTTTTGCTCGCCCCATGGTCTACCGCCTCCTCGCCAGGAGCAGTCATGAGAGTGCGAAGCGTATGCGTCCGCCGTTAAAGTTCAGTTTGAGGATGGACCCGTCGGGCGGAGTCCCGGGCTAATGGACAGGCAGACCGAGGAACGGAGGAAGAAAAGAGGACCGTATGAGTGAGCACAGGATGCGAACGGGGAAAGGAGCATTCAGGGGATCTCGGGCCCGACTATTTTGCTTACTACTGATCATCATATAAGATAACAATTATAAAGATCATGGTGATGCTGAGGGTTAGGATAATTATAACAAACAACTACATACAAATGGATAATGAGCGTAAATATCTAAATGGATAAATGAATAAAAAACCCGAGTTGTCCAGAAAGTGAAACATATCTTGTCATTCCCTTAGTGCACAATCTGCTCATCCGGGCGTCGCTAGGGTTGCAGTCTTTGCAATGTCGCCATGGATTCCTGCGATGAGTTGGTCGCAGGAACGTTTTCGCCAAGCTTGCGGTGCTCCGCTTATCTACGCTTATCCTACCTCTGTGGTTACACATAGCGATGATGAAGATTGACTCACGGCCCCCTGCGCGTAAGCCGGGCCGTGGATCTCGATCATTGCTCGGCACAGTCTCGCGCGAGCCTCAACAGGGGGAACAATGAAAGTTTCCAAGTTAATTCATGCTTATGCCCGGAAAATTTGCTGCGCGACTCGGGGTCCGGATGGTTATATTATTGATAAGTAGTATAGTGAAGAGATTGTCGATCTCAGGTATGGGGAGGGGAGTTTCTCCCCGGGGTACCAGGAGGAGGAGTACTGGCGTTAAATTCATGCTCTTTCCAGATTCAAGAGCTGATGAGGAATAATTTTCACGCGATGACAATGAGGAGCTGTCTCACCGATTCGGAGATTCGAACATAAGATGTGATGGTTTAAGCCGTAAGCAGGAAAGTGATTCGATACTGTCGATGGGGCCCCTCCGGGTGAGGTACGATTGAGCAAGCGGAGTTCACGGAAAATCGATCCCCGGAAAAACAGGAGCACTTCTACTATTGTGCTCATCGGGATCCGAGACAAAGAGATGGAGATTCGAAATAAATGAAAGCCTGGATTAATAGCGAGTGTCTCTTCTTTCGACCAGCACAGACAACCCGATCGATGCCGTGGGATATTATTATCGACAATTTTCCTAGGAAAAGCTCGCTGAATCCAATGATACCTGAACCTCCAGGGAATCATACGTATCACCGAGTCCCTCCGCGCCGAGAAAAAATAAACCAGCCCGTGGCAGTGGGAACACTACACACAAATCCTCAGGAGACAGAAATTTTTTTAATGGATCGAAGAGTGTCGTGGTCGATCCGTCCCGCGTTTATTCTCTGTTCAGAAGTCGTCGTCGGAGTTGCTCGGAGCAGCGGTCGCCACCCGTTTTGATCTCGACGTATGTTGTTGACGCGCACGTTTGAGAGCTCGTTGGGACGAGGTTGGCGAAGGCATCCTAGTCTCCACCTCCTGAGGACGATAAGGGGGGTCGCGGATATTCGAGAGCTCGACGCATAACTTTCGACCGGATCGCTCTCTGAGACCTTGCTCACCTGAACCAGTGCAAACTTATCGAGATACGGCTTGACTACATCCCAAACTCTTTGTTCCTTGAGCAAAGTTGTGACGCTGTCTATATCGGGTGCCATGAATCGGTCTTTATCCCAAGGCCTGCAACACGAGAAGAAATTGACCTGCGGGGAGCTGCATCGATGATGCCACTTCGACTCGATAACGCTCAATAAGAAGGAGTCGTAGCACACACCACGAATAACGATCGTGATCACCGACCCTGTACAATTTGCTCGAGGTGTTCGCGAGGAATCTTGAACTTACTTGGCTACAATCCTGACGAGGCCGTAGACGGCTTCCAGCGGGGCTGTTGTTTTCAGCGGACGGAGGAATTCAATGGCCTGGCACGCCGCCAACAGTTCGATCGCTAGGACATGTTCCACGTTCTCAACTACCTGAACCGAAGCATGGTACGCATCGGTTGAGAACGATTCATAGGCTCGAGGCGGGAGACTAGCGTGGGCGTTTCTGGACTAACCTTCAATGCTTTCCGAGCGGCCATTCCACCCATCGATACGTGGTCTTCGGTCCCTGCGCTCGTCGGTATGGAGTCGATGGAAGCCGGATGACAGAGCACTTTATTTTCAGCGACTAGAATCACGGGAAGGAATTTCAAACCATTCGAAGCACGACAGCTCTCCATGTCTGCGTGATGAACCTCTTCAGATTTCTCGGGTACGGCGTGGATAGACTCACCCAGCGAAGCAGCTGTACAGTGGGCCAACATGAATCCGGAGTTCAGACCCCCGTCTTCCACCAGGAACGCTGGGAGCTCCGAGAGGGCTGGGTTCACTAGTCGTTCGGTTCTGCGTTCGGACATCGAGGCCAATTCGTGTACAGCTATCGCAAGGTAGTCGAGAGCCTGGGGAAAAAGATCGCTTTCTGAGCGATTGTTCTCCTCTGATGCACGACCTACTCTCGCGGGATCAGAGCGGCTGTGTACCAGGGCGGACTCACTTTCGCAGGATATTCACCGTGGAAATTCCCACCAGATATAATTTCGTTGCGTTCCACGAAGACTAGCTGTTTCGGAAGAAACGGAAAAGGAGAAGATCATAACAAGTTCGGAAGTTGGAGCAGGGTAAGCAGGTGTCAATCCACAGTTGATATACCGGATTATCCGTCGCGCTGTTCATCTCTGTCGTTATGATGCGTCTCACGAAATCGATTGTGTCGTGAACGATTCCGTGAACCTGTGGAGTTGAGTGCGTTCCTGGTTAAAAACCAAGCGAGGTCTCCGATGAGCCCATGAGATTCGATTCGATCGAAGGCTCGCAAGGAGCAAGAGTTCGCTAGCGTCGCTTCGAAATACCTGGGGGCAGCATCGCATGGTGTAGGCATCTTGGACGCGATTGCAGAAACGGTGAGACTGCGCTATGTCTGACGGATGCAATTCCGAGTGAAGGAGAGCGCGGAGTCGTTTTGCCACCAACGCTTGCCCCCAATGGGGTCGAATTTTCTGTATGTCTGAGAAAATATGCGATGAGCTCGCCTGTTTCGGGATTTGGTCCCCAGAGCTCATATGTACATCACTTCGGATTGAGAGAACGATATACGGTATGGGACGTCCCGGGTTTCTCAGGATGAAGTCGAAAATATCTACGGGGACTCACCGCCGTCGAAAGCTCGCGTGGTTCCTTTCAGAACTTCAAGCGTCAGAGCGCAGATGACGTCGGCTTGCTTGCAGATGTTCGAAGCCCGTTCGAGAGCTGAAACATGCTTATATTTCATGGAATTCCGCGGAATCTCACGGAGAAAGTATCTTCTGATATACAGCTTCCAGATTCGTTAGAGGAGGAACGTTGTGACGAGTGTATATCGACAACCTTCGGCGCCGATAGATGTGATGAGTTGAGTTCCGTTCAACATGCAGATGCCCTGTCGGAACAATCACGGTCAGTAGGGACTGGCGTGAACTCGGAAATACGAACTCCCGAGCCTCATCTCCGAGGTTTGGAAGAGTCCATCCGAGAACGAATAGCAGAACCTTAATTCGGCCCCTCACCTCTTTTGGTTTCAGCTGTATTGGTTTAAGATTATGCGCTTCGAGTACCTGGCGAGGAATGTCGAGCTTCATTATTCCAGGCAGGAACTAGAAACTCCATCATGACTATTATCAGATCACACTGGAGTTTCGCGCGGACGCCGACTCGTGTCAATGTCTTACGTATTTCGCCTCTGCCCAGCCTGTTTCAGGACTCCACATGCGACCTTCACCGATCAAGCCCAATGCCAGATGGGATAGTGGCGCCAGATCTCCACTCGCTCCTACGCTGCCCTGTTCGGGAACCCAGGATAGACAGTTCGCTGCAATAGGTGAAAACTTCAGTACTCTCCGCTCAGGATCAAGTAGTTTCTGAACGGTACACGCGGTGTTCTTCGGCAAATCCCATTGAAAATATTATTAACGCCATCCTGGAGCGAGCTCCCCTAGAATCTTGGACACACGCGATCCTTTTCCACTGGAACGCCTTGTTTTCCCCATCTTGCCATTGAATGCGTCCAAGAGTTGTTGTAAGGTTGGCAAAGATACTCCGGAGTAGCCTTTTGCAAGAACATTGATCCTCAGAGCAAGCAGCATTCTCGTCTTCTCTGGTGACAAAGGTGGACCGACGCCGGCTGCGTGAGAACGGACCAGATTGAGTTGCAGCTCCCTGTCGATTGGATAGAAATAATTTCTTTTCCATATCATGGGTGCTCTAGGGAATGACAAATTGCGCCTACGGCGTTGAGAGAGATGATGTTTGGCGATCCAGGTCTGATTGAGAAGGCACTCGTGCACAGTCGCGGCTTAACTTACACAAGCTTGTCTTCTGGAATCACGACACGGGCGAATTTTCCGAAACCAGTATTGATCCCGTAAGCCACTTTGTTCTCATCGAGAATCTGCTCCAGCATTTTTCGCGCCTCTGTGACTCGGACTGTTGAGTCGTGCGATAACTAGAGAATCACAGCATCGTTAAGAATTGTCGGGAGGCTTTTGTCGGATATTCCAGATTCGGATACGTAATTGTAGGCCTTTTGGCTTGGGCAGTCAGGTCGTCTCATCGAGCCTCGAGCGCGATTTCGCTGCTTACCCTGATTTTGTATTTGCCCTGACCCAATCCGATGAGTTCTTCAGGCGTGAGATTATTCCCATCCAGGGTGAGCTCTTGCGTTGGTGACTTGTAAACCCCTGGTCTGGAGACGCGGTCGGCATGTTAATCCACCAGGGACTCGAAAGACAGGCATCCGAAATACCACGCTAAAGTATACGTACACCATCTCCGGAACATAGTTCAATTCCTGTGACCCTAAGATCGGTGATGGACGGTCGGATTCCAGGACTGGGATTGAAAAAAGCGGTCAGTTTCCCGAACTCATTATCGCTTCCGAATGAGCTCCAAACCCGAACAGAGCCAGGAAAAAGTCGGTCTAGCCTGCCCCCTACTAACCGACGGAGACGAAGTCATTGTCATCAAGGATATTCTGCAGAAGGTCCTCGTTGTCTAGAAGCGCGCCTCCCTTCGTTTTCCGAACCTCGAAAACCTTCGAAGAATACCTCGAAATAAAAGTCTGTTTGCCAGATTCGTCTGACCCAGAACACGCATTCCGAAGAAAAATACTGGAGAACGAACTTTTTCTTCCTTTCCGGTGTAGGCCGCTGGCTGCAGTTTGGCATACCTTCGAAGTGCTTCCTCACCCAGCCATGCGACGCTCTTCGTGGCGTCCAAGCATGGAATGGCTAACCATTCTCCCCGGACTCGTGCGGAGACTTTCATAATCCAAGTGGTGGAGCGTTGAAGAAGAGAACCTGCGTCCGATTATGAGCTTTCTGGGAACATTCACTGTTAGAGAACAATACGCTCTGAATCAAGCTGGCGACAAGATGCCCACAATCATGAATAGGAGAAACTCCGGGAGGGAAAAATTCCGATGGCGGAGGCTCTGGGGAAGCGGCTTGACAAACGCATACCTTAACAGAGCAAAACAATTCGCACGCCGAAAAGTCGGTTTCCAACGTCGTCACTGTCAACGTCGAGAAGCAGTCGTTTCGGTCTAGGGTGAGGACGCTAATCTTCAACTATCGTGTTTCATATACGAATCTAGGTAAGGGTCACCTTAGCGAAAGATACTCGTCATCATGAAGAACGTCAACTGTCAACTCCTTCCTCCAGCTGACCGCGTGCGAAAATTGAATTTGAGCGAACTTTTTCAGGAGGATTCGAAAATCAATTCGGCTGTTGGCGCCTGACTTTCAACTCACTCAGAGATGTCAACTCGAGTGACAATAGCCAGATGTGATACAATAATTAGCCAGATGTGACCCACGGATCAGATATCGATGACTCCGTCCTAGAAACGTCCACGGAGTGAGATTTTCAGCGACGCAATTCACTTTGACTTTCTGTCTTTCAATCCGGCTACATGTGAGGGACCACTGTCCAATTTGGCGGTTTATCGATCGACATCACTAGGCTCACGGGGGAGTAGAATTCGAGAAACTCCATCGAGAGGTCGCCGGATTCAACTATCGCATTTCCGAGTTTCTTCTCGGGTTCCAGGTGCTATCCAGATTAGATATTCGGCACAGACGGGGCCGTGCTTTACGAAAATATCAAGACTGTTGATGCGTCACGATGTCTTTGATATTCTCAATGATGCCTTCCACAACGATCCTGGAGACGATGTCTCGACACCGACGTGTCAGCAGCTCGAACAATCAGGTTCTCCAAAAAAAGAATACTCAGCGCCCGGCGGAGGGTATCGGCTCGGTGGTCCAATCAATCGGAAGCAGGGAACGAGTTTCGAGCAGACTTCGAGCTGAGCTCGTCGTCCCATTCGCAATCGGAGGAAATCTCGCGACCTTGACATGTGAAAAATCCAATCCGTTATTCACTTTCTAGATAAATCTGTGGCGTTCCAGTCCCGTGATTCTCGGCGAATATTACCAAACGCGACGGGGAAAGCTCCCGAAGCAATCGTCCACATTGGGTAACTCCCAGAGACATTCCATTGCAGGTACCGACATTACGGATCGGTAGCAGCCCCTGAATCGGTGGAATGCTTCGGCGGGAGATTTTTCTATTCGACCATTTCAAAATCACTCCGAAGACAATCGTATAATCCCGCGGACCAGTTGTCGAATTCGATTCGGTTGCGGCCAAACAGGGAGGCCATTGCGGGAACAACAAGATGCTTCGCGAATCGCGAACCTCTTCAGCCTTGTCGACTGTCATTCAACTTCTGTCGAAGGAACCTACGCTGAATTTGATGAATGTGCGTCAAGGTGAGCGAAGAACTAAATCAGAATTTTTCTGTACGTTTTTATTCTGTCTGACTATATCGATTGTTATGAAGTCTATGTACAGTAGATGTGCGACTGCCTTGCGTCACTCAGAGTAGAGACCGCGTTGTAGGATGAGGAGTTTTGGTCTTGGGAGACCTGCAAGTTTCTGAAACTTTATACATAAAGCGCTTCGACGAGACTCGACGCGGCGCAAGCCATAACTGTAGATCACATTCCGGGTAATTGACGTTCCGACCTATTGACTCTTTCCGTCCTTCTTCTCAGATGCTTCGTTGTCTTTGGTTTTTTCCTGAGATTCCGCTGATCCGGCCTCAGAAGAACTCTGCTCAGCCGAGCTGTCAACGGGCACTACGTGACTGTTGACGTAGTAGTACTCCGGTGCCCGTGAGCAATCAAGGGCTTCAGCGGGGTACACGCATGTCAGAGAGAGCTGGTTGAAGACAGTCTCATTGGGGCAAAGGTAAGCCGCGTGAAGTACGAATTGATTCTTCTCGGGATCGGTGAAGGGTTCACAATAGTGGAACAACGAGCAGTTTTTGGTGTCCCCGTAGTACCTGTCGGAAGACGGTTCATGAATTTTCCGGAATTTTCCATAGGGTTCGATCCGATAAGGTTCATCCATTTCTGAGAAAATGGAAAATTGTAGAATACGAGGACCTTTTTCTTGAACTCACCCGAAGATTCTTCCCTCACACGAAAAGCCCGAGTTCGAAGCGGCTTCCGTGGAGTTTATAGCTTCCGTACCGTTGAGAGCTTCTTTAGCCGAAGCTTCGTTCGGCTTCTCACCTGCCGGCATTCCCTGTCCCACCATCCACACGGCTGCCAACACCGACACTGTGAAAGTTCAATTTGATTTAGAGACTGTCTCCAGGGTTCGATTTGCGTTCCGGGACGAAGGCTGCCGGAAAACAGTGTCCGGACCCGACTGTGAGGAATTCGCGAAAACGCGAGACGGGCTTTCGAAAAAGCAGCCGGGCGCAGCCATCGGGAAAATCGGGGGGACGGTCGAGTCTCCGAATTGCAGCGGGACACCGGTGCGGGCGCTGGATTACCCTTCCAAGTTGTTTCCGTAGTCCTCGACCACCGTCATGCACCGGACAGTTGGGGGTGATTGCACGATCCCTGCCCCTTGTGTATGACCATGAATGTTTTACCAGATTTTATGACCACAAACAAATGTCTTACCCGCAAGGACGACGAACTCGTGAGATCTAGCCATTGCGAGGAAAGCCGACCGACGCTGACGTTAGGGAGCAATCCGAACAACACGTCCCAAGTCTTGGTTCAAATTCTTGGACCGCTTGCAAAGCGCCTCGCTTTTATGGGGCAGCTCAGTGAGTGAGTGAGGAGAATTTGCCTCTACCGGAAGCCGACCCATAACAAGAAAGCGCTGCTGCTGACGGTGTTATTGGTGACTTCTCCGGGCGGATCGGACAGCTGCTGTGATCGAAGCCGCGGTTCGAGCCGCTGGATAGCGGTCCGAAGCTTCCTACGTCATGGGCGACGCTTGGCCGCCTCAGGGCTACCGCGCCGAACCGAAGGCTGATGCCAACGGCTGACGCCGACATGGTGGGTGGTGTGGAAGGTGGGGAAGTCTACGTTGATCTACAACATATCACTCCGTCTTATTAACACCTGGAAGGAACCGAAGTCTGTACCCGGTCGAAAAGCTTGTCTAGACATCGACTGCGCACACTGACTTTTCACGATGATAACGGCTCGGCTGTGAAGTTCGTTCATGGCAATTTCCTTTTTTTCATTCGCTGCTTCTCACGTCGGCTCGGTAGTGTTCCATCGAATTCCCCTCGGTCCGGACAAGGAATTTTTCCGTCGATGGAAAATTCGGAGACGCGGCTCGATTGTTGAACGTCTTCGGCGAAGAACAATCGCCGTATCGGATCAGAGGATACCGAAGACTTTTTGTCCCCAGCCACGGCACTGCCAGCAACCTTGACTGACTCGGAATCTCGATTTAGTCGACGCAGATCTCCCCCCTCCCACTCCCTGGCCTCCGAATCATAATTCGAGCTCCTCGGGTGGTCAGCGATCCTCGGCTCCCCGAGTCCGCTCGAAACTGGAGCAGTTCCCCAACCCGCATCCCCAACTCCAGCTCCTTTCCGGAGGCTGTCTTAGGATATCATAAATCGAAGTGAGGAACATGACTCCCTTAGACAACTCATACTCAAATATATGTAGGTTCGGAGCTCTAAGGATTCGCTTTTTCGGCTATTCAACCAAGGCCTCGCGCAGCGCCCGTTGTTCTTGAGCACCTTCCCGGAACACAATCGAATTGCAGGTTACGGCTGGTGTACCCTTTCGGATAATCTTCTTCTCTTGGCGAACAAAGTGACTGCTTTCATCCTCATTTAGTCGCGTATTAAATTTCGACATATCTCTACCGTGTTCCAATTGATATTCTATTGTTGGTTAGAAACATTGTTCCACGGTGATAAAACGTTCCGGAGTTTCGCTCATGGAATGGAAGCCTTCTGTTACGGCTTCAGCTCCCAGATCTTACTATGTATAAGCTGCTGGTGAAGGCAGGCTATTTTCGAAAATGGAGTGGAATTACCACTCTGTCTGGCGGAACTTTCTAGGTAGCGCCCGTCGAACAGGATCTGCTTTGTGATTGCGGGGTGTGTCTGCCGCTTCAAATGGTCACGGGCTCAAGTTGCGGTCAGAGTTTCGCCAAAGACTTTCTGATCAGAGGCGTGGCGGGACTTCCTGAGTCCCCGAACTAATTCTAGTCGGAACAGTCCGGTCTCAACCCCGCCAACGGCGAGTCCGACGTTTCGAGAAAATCGCGCAACTTGTTACTTAACGAGGAACTACAGAAATGAAGCTCTACCAGGGCTAGATAAGAACTGATATCAGAAATGAAGAAAGACTCACAACTAGCCCTGCTGATCAACATCTAAACCAAAACTCGCTCCCAGCCATTCCAGAAAATCTCCGTCGAATCAATGCCAGATCGATGGCCGATGTGCTCGGGATATTGATGGAGACGACAGATTTCCAAGAATGACACAGGTAATTTCACCGACTCGCTCAAATGAACAGTTTCACGACGTACCGATTTCGTCAGCCACGATTCCGAGTTGACGCCGCCCCCGAACGCTTCAGCGATTTTATATAGAACAAGACGGAGCCGGAAATCTTTTCCGCAGGCTCCCCCAGAGAGCGGACGAATAATCCGAAGCTATTGGTAACCTCAGATCGGCACTGAAACTTTCAATTCGTACATCCGTCCATCTCCGAGCTGACCTACAGGAGCAAGCGAAAAAGTGACTGAGATCTAATTAAGACCTGCCAGCGTTGAATGGGGACATGAAGTTCAGCGTAATTTCGTCACCCCGCGTCATTCCGAGCTGTCAAAAGTCACCGATCACGGAGGCAACGGCAGTGGCGGTTCTCAACCGGCATCGCTGGCCCGATCCGCGCGATATTGTAGTTCACATCCGTCCGCCCGTCTGACGTTCCTATCGCCCGTGGTGCTCGCTTCGACCGACTGTCTACACGCTGTGTTGCCGTCATACGAAGCACCGGGTCGCGCATTGATAATGCAATGAAGCGCGTATATTGTAGAGTTCCAACAACTTCTACGCCCCGTGGACGAACGCACGGCCGAGTCAGCGAGCGGGCAGGCGGGTGGGCAGCTAGGCGTCCAGACGGTTGGGTAGGCCGAGCAAACAAGCATCGAAGCGTGGTATGCTATACTACAAACTGAGGCTTTCCAGGGCTCGGGGCAGTTGGGTGGTCTGTAAGCGAAAAGTATTTTCTTTAGAGCAGTCAACCCCAAATAAGCTCGCGCCAGGTCGTTTCGTCTGGCTGGGCGCTTTCAGTTTGTTGGTGCTGCGATCGCTACTTCTACACGAACGGTCACTCCGGTAATCAGCGTCGGCTTTAACACCCCGGGAAGGCGGGACCGAATTGACGATAACGGAGCTGAATCGGAACACTCGCCACGGGCGTGAGTGCTGCTAGTCTTGGAGCTTTTCTGGACACTCAGGCCGTCATGCAAGATTCAGGTTTGAGCATTTCGACCGTGGATAGGAATGAGTGTAATCGACGAAAGAAGAGACGATTCAACCTTGGAGCACAGATGTTTACTTGGAACGAGAAATTACATAGAGATCAGTCAAAGATTTTGACAGGGCAGGCTTGAGTTGGGTTATTCACAGCCTAGGGTCGTCGCTCGAAGGGGGGTAAAAGATGTTACCCGTCGGAATCGCCGCATGAGCTAGTAGCTGTTGTGGCCGGCTTGCCGGTGGCCCACACTCGCCTGCAACAATCACGGGAGGAAAAATTATTGTACACCTTTCTCGACGCGAGATACCTCGGTGAAAAAGAAAGATAGCCCAAGCGTTGCGTCGGTGTAGCACGAAGTCGCTTTTATCTCCGATAAGCTGAGCGTAGATTATCTCCAGATCTGGATTTTTCGTCAGATAAGCGGGTTACAGATTTCCTGAGGACGGAATCTATTGGCTTTCTTCTCGCTGCTGATCCGTAACACTCCATGAGACCCCTGCTCACCTCGTTCAGCCCCCGAAATCAGCTCGAGAGCGAGGTATCTCGATTTTAGCGAGGATTTTATGTGACCTATTCGAGCAAATGGATGCAAAGAATTCAAACCGTGGATCTGATGCTCCCAGACTGCTCGGGCGAACTCCGAGAAATACCGACTCACGTCGGATACCGTTGCATGGTTCAGCTGTCTGACGGAGTGCCATCACGGGAAGAAAAAATCTCCCGTCGGGATATTCCTAGAACCAGTGGCATGGCAGCTCGGATAGCGCTTGGAAGACTTCACAACCGCTCCGGTTTCAGCAGGAAGGGTCGGGTGGAAGTAGCTGCTGTTCAAGTCCTTGCTGTCCTCTTGGACGAACCTAAGTGCTCTATTTAGTTGAAATTTCGGCGACTACTGTAGCAGAAAGAAAGATTCCGAAATTGGAGCCGACAAAAAAGCCCGCAGCTTCACAAGTGAGTGATTTGCTTCGTCTATTTTTGCTCACTTACTTTCCCGAACAGTCTTTGCTCAGTAGCTCCTTAGTAAGTTATCGAGCTGCGAAGCTCGACCGACCATCTGCCGATCTGCTCATCCGCTCGCTGACAGACACAATGACGATCGTCTCGCTGACATCAGGTGTCAAATATTCATACAAAAGCTGCGAAAGGAGGGCGCAAACTTCCGGCATACATTCTCGATTCCGGCCGAGAAGATCCGAGACTCCTTGGGACCACCGGCGAACTCATTGGAGAGGGGGGTTAGCTGTTCTCACAGAAAACTGTCACTCGATCTCTGACGCTCGTTCGTGGGTTCCTTCATTGCGATCGTTCACGGTGATCAATGATCGATCCCTCACACGGCTCTCGTCCGGCCAAACCGGGGAGTCTCAGGGGATCCACCACACAGTTTCCTCCCTGATGACGAAGGGGAAGCTCCTAGCTCCGTGAAATATCAGAAAGGAAAAGTTCAAGATACCAATACCGACTCAACATTTATTAATCTGAGGTCAAGACGGGAACAGCTCGCGATGGAGGACGAGTCCTTGAGGAACGCGGATTTTCTGCGCCCTGCCCTCATGTTAGCTATCCCCCACACTCGATCATCGATGCGCTCAACAAAACGCTGCGATGACGCTCATGGCCTCATGCAGACGATTCGGGTCTTCCGAAAACTACGGAACGACCGTCGGTTGCATCCGAGTGTTCGCTCAATACTCGGGCCTCTATCGAGGATGAGATATTCCCCTTCAAGAGGAAACACAGACCTTCACTAGAAACATCACGAAGCTGAGAAGTTCCGGAACGGATGTCACTCTCGATCGCACTCCCGTCATTGTATGGGCTCACGACGATACGAGAGGATTCTCTCCGTGGGATTTTCAACTCCTGCATTTTCAACAATCTACAGTCCACAGAATCCTAAAGCAATCCCCATGAGCCGAAATGGTAGCGGCAATCGGAGACGCTCATCTTCTCTAACATTTGTGGGAACCTAGGGCATTGCTCTAACATGAACGATCGCTCTGCTACCTATCCACATCATGAGTTCCGTCACAATTATTCCATGGCTTCTAACTTCTGATTGAGAACACACTGCGCTTGGAGCGCGATATCCTCCGCAGAAAAGCAGGGCGGCTTGACGAGCCGCGTGTCTCAATTTTCCAATCGTAACAGTCAACGTCAACTTCCTGATACTGGATTTAATCCGATATCTTGACGAGGAAAACAAAACATTCCACTAACAATATATTTCCTAGAACGGCGCTCTCTTCTCCAATGAAAACTTTAAAGTTACGCGCTCCCTCGATGGAGTGACATTCGCATTATAGGGCCTCAGGGACGAGGTGAATAAATAATCGTCAGATCCCGATCCCTCACAATCACATATTAGGTACACCCCACCTCTGAGCGAAACGATGGAATCGAAGGGTAGGCTAGGGCTCTGAGAAGTAATTCTCTCGTCTCAACGCTGCTCACAATCAGAGGCATCCCTCGCTCCGTGCTCTCCGGACCGATCTCCCCTACAAATTGATTTACGACGGTGCGACCGTAATTCGGGTAATGTGGAGAAAACTCGACCACAGTCGACGCAGTCCATGACCGACACTCTGTGGCATCGCAAATGGAACCTCCTCTCACGTAGTGTATTCGTGGCGAAGTTGCAGAGGTCGCAGCGCCATACCCTGTCAGGTCTGCGTGACTCCTCTGCTTTCGGACGGCTTTCGAGGAACAGCTTGCTAATTGTGGCGTTTAGGTGTTCTTTCAAGGATTGCTGATAGCCCAGCGCAGAGCACCAGGGACATCGGCGTCTATCGGTGCAACTTCCAGAAGCTCCATGTTCTCCAAGCGCCGACTGTCGCTCCTGGTAACGGCACATGATTCACCGAGTGAGATGAATGGAGCACGATGCGCAAGCAACGGGAATTTCAGGAGCTCGTCATATTCTCTTAGGTGCCTGGACAACGGATGCAACTTCAAACTTCAACAAAATCACCACGGGATCCGGACACAGGTAGATTTTGCTCGCGGGCCGGATCGCTAACAGGGTCTCGCTCCACTCGATTCTCTGAGGCAGCTTCAGCTGTCAGGAGCGAAAGGATCGCGCGCGAGTTGCCCCCTCTAGGAGTGTTGCAAACTGAGGGCGCGCTCACGCACTCGACTTGGAATCTTAACGTGGTTCGATCGGGAGACTGTATGCTTATTATGTGTACAGAAAAGACAGGGTCATTGATCTCAGCTCGTCCTCCGGGCCAGGGGTTCCCAACCTCATTGGCCCGAGGGGGTTACGCTAGAGAAGATTTCTCGGGGTGCAACGTTCAAACTTCTCTGGAACCCAAGGGCCCGTCGACGATTTTCGTGTTCAAAGCTCGGATTTCTGTTGGTGGCGTAGGCCCCATTCCACGAATTTCGGTCCGATTATATTTCATGGCTTGAAATTCCGTCATTTTTCCTTCATAGCTTTTTTCGAGGATAGGCCCGCGTGTTTTCGGACGAATGTCCGTTTAGCGGGATATTATTTTTCTGGGGCTCTGAACACGTTATTCGAATATTAGAGATCTACAGGGACTGCACGGGGGGCTTACGTGAGGAAGGAGGTTTGAGAGGGGTTCAACGAGAAAGAAAGTTCGGGAACCAGTTGCATTAGAAGACAACAATCTGATCTAATCGAACGATATAATGGGAATGACCCGGGATCGCCCCAATAGGGGCTCGTGGAGCCCGTTGCAAATTACTACCCTAGGATTCTGTGGCGCTAAGGGAGAACGGATCACAGGTCCGAATAGCTCGCGACGGGGAATATTATCGAAGAGAAATGAGGAAGCTCAAGGAACGGAGCAGGATCGTTTATCCCTTGATCTATGTTCATCTGACAGTATCCGTATCTGGGTATTGAGTCTCGATCTTGGGGCCCACGATATTCAGTGTACCTTTTCTGCTTTTCCAAGAGATCTTTCCTTTTATCCCCTCTCGAGAATCCGATAACTCCTCCCCTTCCTTTCTGAGTTCGGTACACGTATGTGCTTTGAATCTCCGTCCCCCTGATCCAACAGAGGTCCCCGAACGGTTTCGCAATCATGGCCCTCCATCGCCGCGGACGTAGATCTGGATCTCGCGCATAGAAGCTATACGGAGGCGCCACCGGTGTAAGCCGTGCGGGAGAGGATCGTACAATTAGCCAAGCACCGTCTGAGTTCTGCTATTTAGCTACTGTGGGGAGTATGCTACGGTCAGATATCAGGACTGGTTGTGACTCTGCGACGGCTTGACGCTCAGAGCCCCGGGAAAAGTTTATGCGCTTTCAACTTCTGAAGAGGGAAGTCCGCTTCGATGATTTTCATCGGGAAGGCATGAGATATCTCTTCGTGCAAGGGCTGATTGTAAGATGGATTACAATGAAACGTGAGCTGGAAATCACCTTCTTATTCAGACCACCTGAGGTATCCGACCACTCTTTCGCGGGCTCCGGATCCACAGATTCCGATGAGAGCCTGCTCGAGAAGACTACCTAAAATCCAAGAAGCCGTCTTACGGATACCCCGCAGGTGGTCTTAATAGGGAGGTTCCACCGTAAACAGCATGTGGTACCTTAGTCGAACGCAATCCTAGTACGATGCATAGTATCTGAATTCATTATCAATATAACACACATCATAGACGGCGACAGCCTTGCCGGGGCGAAGGGCAGAAGGTTCTGCTTGGGCGAGTAGGGGGCTGGGTGACTGGACAAGAAGCCCTAATCTCGCACGATCGTAGGAACTTGAAGACGGATGCAATGGAGAAGCAATTTTCTTGAGAAGCGTCATTCTGCGGACAGCAGACACAGAGGTGCGGTTCAGAATGTTTGATTGTTCGCTCTAATCGCGATGAAGTCCATTCCCTTAGTTCGAAATTGAGACTGTTAAATCGGTGGAGTGAGGACGTGAACAATTGATTCCGATGCTCGCTCAGTATGCCTCAACGGCCCGGGGATATTTATCCTCTCCGATTATTTTGTTCTTACTCCTGTCCGCGTGTACCACAATGCCGCATAGGGCCGCGATTGCCGAGCATTTTTCGATGATGCCGATCATCGACGCTTCGTCCTCTCCATTTTCGTTTGATTCCGCAAGCGTGACAAGTATGGCGGGCGCGTTCAAACCGTCCTCTCCCACTCTGATGACGTCAGGAGCCCCACGGGTTCTCTTATTGGCTGACGGGTTTTGGCGCTCAAAAGATGCAGCTCGATGTGTCTGCGCGCTGGTTCAGTTTGAAAATTGTTGTTGAAAGGATGTATTATCAATTGTTTTGTGAATAGGAAAATGTCTCCCGCCGTTACTCCAGTGGTTGTGCACACACCGCTTCAGAAGAGCGGCCGAACTTTACGTCTGATTGGTACTCCGCAAACGCCGAAGACTCTGTTCGAGCGATGTCAAGTGCTCAACACAGACGTTCGAATCCGCGCCCGGCTTTTCTCGGACGATGAACAGTGCCGATCGCCGGTGAGTCGGCTCTCAGCCGAAGTTTCCAGCGACGAATTCGTGCCCGTGGTCCAGCAGAAACGGCTTTTCGACACCGACACCACCCCTCCGGAGTATAGCAGTAAGAGATTGTCCGGCGAGTGTTCGGCCAGGAAGAGTCTGAGGACCCCGTTAATCGAGAGGAAACAAGTTAATGTGAATCCTTTCACGCCGGTGGGACTCTTGGAGTGTCAGCGGAAAAGACCGCGCAACGGCTCACCAAGGTAAGCTGAATTATTGACGACAAAGGAATATATTAGGAGTGAGGAGGGATTTTCCACGACGCGCGGCTCTGGAAACCGATGGATCAAGTAGATCTTTCTCGATGTTTCGAGTGAAATTTTCTCTCGCATACCTGTACAGATGTTTCGTTCTGCTTAGCGGTATGGGATGGACGTCGAAGATTTTTTCGCGGTTCCCGAGTCAGAATCCAATTTGTATTTTTGCTGACGCGGCTTCTCGCACGTGCCATGGCTGAGCGCTGCGGCGTCTCTCGCTCTTGAGAAGAGTCTCCGGCCGGTCTTACTCTCCGGTCCTCTCCGGAACAGGTTGAACATGGTGAATCGCTCCGCTGATCTTGTGAAACGATATGTTTGTTTTGAGCTTTCCTCAAGAGCAACTCCTCCTCGATGAGCGCATCACCGATCGCTTTCTCAGAATCCGACTCGTCGAACTCTTCCGTGTTCTCTGGGTCTCAACCGGCGCGGCGTCTAGGGGAACTCTATCCGATGCATCGAAAAATTGAATTACCTCAATCCTCCTGGTCCCCTGGATCTCGATTATCGAAGTAAATCTAGCTAGACGAGATTCGAATCATGAACAATTCGTAGTTGTACCTCGATCTATCGATAAGGGGGACCGACCGGAAATATCACAGATGAAGTCGGCCTGGCCTCGCTCGGGTAGCGCTCGCTGATGTTAATTGATCCAAATGATGGAGAATATAATATCCAAAAGTAAAGTTTCTCGTTAGAGAATGATATCGTCTCCGTTGCGGACGCGTCATCCGTTCCTGTTTTAGGAGCGATGTGTTCCTCCTACGATGTCGCACTTTTTCTACCCGTGAGGTCGAATACTAGATGCGGAATCGTAATTCTTCTGAAGAGCGCGTGAACAGGTTTTTCTGGCAAACAAACGGGTCATTTTTTCGGTATCCTCAAGCGAGTTCTTCTCCGAAAGTACTCGCCGTAGCTGAAGTTTCAACTGACGGCAGACCTTGAGACGGCAAATCCAGAAGTCTTCAACGATCGCCACCGGGTATAGGCATCAGACCTCGCTAGGAGCCTCCGAAATATCGCACGGGTAGACGGAATATAGTATTCATTCTGAGAGCGTCATCCTCCGACCCCCCCCCCCCCTCCCGGAGCGTGGGGTTTCGAGTCCCGACTTGAAGGCTCTGGGCTGAGGTCCGAGACTGTCTGCATTTCGGCATGTTCAGGACTCGCCTCGACGAGATCGCACTTGTCCGCGTGATTCAAAGGGTCCGCCTGTTGCGACAGGTCTCAACGGTCGACTAATTCTCTGCCTCGGACAAACACGAAAGATTGAGTTCGCCTGCCGAGGTGCTCTCACTGGGGCCGCTAGCGAAGGTTCTCGACAGAAACAACCTGTCGGTTCGGAGGCTTGGTTTCGAGGCGAGAGTGAGGGGCTCGGCATGGAAGTCATAGTGTATCAGCCTTGACGGAGCAGCGACGCGTACCCTCTCCACGGCTTCAAGTCGAAAATCGGAGCCATGTAAGGAATCCGGGAAACGCGAGCAGCGCGACCTACTGACTGACTGACCTGTGCGACGGCGTGTACAATGCTCACGCAAATGTACATAGATCGACTCGGATTCGAGCTCAGTCCTGTCTTACTGCAGATGGTCACACTGTCACACTCCTGGCTCCTGATCGACCACGGAAAGTCGCCTGGAGTGCTGAGCGACATCAGGAATGTGATGCCGTTCCACGACGGAAACACGAACATCTATTGAGTTCTCAGCCCGAGTTTCGAGACCCCCGGGATCGTCATGGTCAAACTGGAAGCAGGAGGTCCCTGGGGGCAGATGAGGAGGGTCAACGAGAGGGAAATAAGAAACAAATCCACTGCGACTCGGAGGCGCGTCACGGCGTTAGCGGTCGCGGCTCGTCCAAGACGGACTGCCACCTCAGCCCTTGCCGATGCGTTCTACCACCGGTTTTTCGAGTCGCTGACGTCATTGAAACCGCTCCGAAGTGACCGTTGATCCCAGAAACAATTGCAACCTGATCGACCGTATCACTCTCTCTCCGAAGAAATCCGCGCCACGAGTCGCAGAGCCCCGCGTTGAGATCTTCTAGGAGACTTCCAAGGTCAGAAGTTCCTTTTGTATCGCTGCTTTTCGGGCTCTTCAGACCTAATGATTTTCTATCGAGAAGAATCTCCAACGAATCATCCGTACGCAGAATGCTCGTTGTGTCAAGACAACGCTCCTCAAAATTTCCCCGTTCTCCTGATTCCTTCTGTTCTAAAGGAGTTCGTTCAGTCTTAAATGTCTCCTCCAGGATCGTCTACATCCTGAGACAAAATCAGGAAATTTAAATCCTCGGCACCGATCCGAAATTGGTGGCGATTCGTTACGAGGTCCAAGGAATCAGCTGCCGGACAACCGTTCGGACCGCCAGAGCGCTGACGCAGTGTTCACGGCTCCCGTCGTCATCCTCTGGTATTTTGGCGAGAGTGACCGCCACGTTCGCTTTCATTTCCTGAAGACGAACGCTAACGGCCCGCAGCTCGAGGACCAGCTGCAGGCGCGTGTTCCGTTCCGTTTAGGCGATTATCAATCTCCCGGAGCCGTACGGAGACTATAACATTATTTTGCTAGTCCTGGGAGGAGGAAGATTTCGGAAGCCATCGCAGAAATCTCTCCGCGTTGACTTTTGTATCGTAGGGACGTGGGAACTTGCGAATGTGGGGCGGATATTTCACGAAGGACGAATTTGTACGCGGTCGCGTCTCCGTTTGGCGTTCGCTCTATCGGGTATGGGATAGTGACCGGAACTCCACACTCGCGTTCTCAGGGCAGGCCCCAAAGTTGAACTAATTTCGCTAGAAATGTTCGTTGAAGATCCCATGGTAAACGGGGTTGATATGTACTTGGCCACGTTCTCGTCTTTCGCTCAGATAGACCACTGCAGTGGGTTTCCTTTAAGCCGGAGCACCTGCGACTCGGATTCGGTCCGCTGGCTAGCGGCTTTGACGCACCTCTCTCAAGTTAAGTTTCATCTGTCGAGACGACACTGGGACAGCTGCTGATAGTTTCGGCCGGCCGTTACGTTGCTATCGACTTGAAATGGGCAGCTCGAACTTAAACACTGACCGAGGCATTCCACCCTGATTGCACTGCAGACAGGTGATCCTCAGAGATGATCTACTTGACCCAGTCTGCGCACACTTTGCGTAGTTTTCAATATTCACTGGGAGGCTGACATTCGGGAGGGTCGGCGGAGGGCCTGAAAACCGCCAGTGGGGAAGCCCGAGCAGCAAGCGTTCAAAGCGCGTCGCAGGTCCTGATCGAGAGATCTCTTGTGACTTGTGACACTTGAATGTAGACCCGAGCCCAAGTCAACAGATACAAGAAGCTGGTCGCCTCTGCAGTCTCCCGAAGCGCACTGAGGAATTCAGTGAGGAGAAGAAGACCACTTGCTCGGAATTCCTGACATTATTCGATTTCCTCAAGACGAGAACGAGAAACCACGAGACCGACGCAACACTCGGTCGGGACATGTGTTTGAAATTCCTGGTCGCAACGGACCGCTCCTCGAGATCAAGGAAGGTCGAATTCAGCGTCTAAAAATAGATCCTCTGTCTGCTCTTTGCACTCTTCCTGCAGAACAGCTGGCACGAGCGACGGGACGAGGGATTTAAAAAGAATACTATCGAACTTCAAGACGCGTAAAAACCCGTTCAAGACCGGCTAGATGGGACCGGACTCCGTCTGAAGCTCTCTCCCTCTGACGCTTCTCGCGACGATCATTATCGCTACGGCTGAGGAAAGTGCTACTAAGCTACAACCGGTGCCGTCGGAGAAAAACGGTAGATGCCATATGGCGAATACACGCAGGCTCGGGTCTATGGATCTAGATCATAGGGAATATCGGGGCAGTCAACAACGGAGAGGAGCACGCGACGCTTGCTGACCGAACGTCAGGTGGGCGATGGACGACGACCGGCAACTTGACCGACTGTCGAATCAGCCAACTGCTTGAAGAGACATCCACGCGACTTTGAGACCCGAATCGGAGGGACTCGGTCCTCTTCAAGCCGTCGCACAGCAGTGAGTACATTCCAAGTCTTACGCAAAAAGAGGCCCCGATTCGGCTTCGTTTGATCGTTGGCCGTGACAACTTCAGCTGAGACGGGGCAAAGTCGTTGATCTGCGTGCGTAGTATTGGGTGATGAAATGAGCAGAAGATGAATGTTCAGCGTCACGGGAAAAAACTCGTTGTATTGCTTCATCTGGCTCCAGCCAATGAACTCAGGCTTTTTCCGCTACGTTTCAAAAGCGACCGTGCTTGTGTAAACTTCTCCGGTACCGCCTCGTCCGTCGGAGCATCGCTGCCTCCGATTTCATGACTTATACTCTCAAGTGCGCAATCTGATGATCCAATTTTCATTCGGATCGCCGAGTTCTGCGGACGGTACCGAGGGCTCATAGACCATTTAGCATGACCCGCGGTGCGAGGGGCGAGTGCGAGTGATCGGCAGTATGATGCCTGGCCCGGGACAATCTCACCGCAGGAAGAGGAGATGTTGCTGCGAACCATGCCGATCGGAGATCAGGCGCCGATGAGCTCGGTCCGTGTAAACCCGAAGAGTTGCAGTTTTTCTGTTTCATATCGATCATGAACCTACGGTGGGATCTTCTCCTCTGGTAGGGGATCGCCGATCGGCCAACACAGATCTCGGGAAGTGCGTAGGAGCAAGCAGCGCAGTTCTAGGTCATTCTGACTCGAATGATGAGAACCTTCCGGTTGTGGATCAGCAGATGTTCGAAAAATCAGTTAGCGACGAAGGACGAAAATGCTGGGTCATCTCGGGTCTGAAGCCGCATGTTTACCGGCAGCTTTCTCTCCTCTCTCCGAATCTCACTGCTTCGGCTGTGGCTCTCAAACTCCAACGTACTCGTCTGAAGGAAGTGACGCCTCTCGAATCTGAGGACCCGAATCCTTGAAAATTTCGCCGTGTCATTCCGCCTCACGAACGCGCAGACTTTTGCAGCTCTTAGAGCTTCCTCGGCGAATGACTCATTCTCTCTCGCTCAAATCAGAGTCGCTCGAACCGGCTGGAAAATCATGCCAGCGGAAATGAATCAGAGCTAGGAGATTCTCTTCCGATGCTCGAGACAGTGAATATCAAGCGGATTCGGGGTATACGCGAATCCAGCAATTGAGAATAATAAATTCCATGGCACATATCCTCAACAGAGAGGATGTTTCCTGCAGTGTTGTTGACGCGAGCGACGAACTGGTCCAGCGGCTCGATTCTACAGAAAGGGGCCAGACTTTTTACGCTATCGTTCGCTCGGTTGCTTGTCGGCGAAGCGGTCGAGGTCTCTCGATCTCTATCCCTCGATTTCTCTAGTGGTCGCCCGGCTGACATCTGTCTCCGATTCCGACAATACGGTCCGACGGCTAGCCGGCTGAGCTGCATTGCGATACAATACAGCCTTGGGGCACCGAGCTCGGAGTGGGTCTCTGTCTGCGCTTCGAGCGCTCCTCGAATGAGTCGCAGAAAATTTTGAATCTTGTATTTCGAATACCAACACGGAGTAGGTAAATAAGTATTACCTTTCTAACCGTCGGGACCTCTGATAAACTCCATGTTGGAAAGGCGCTTCACGAAATAAGTCTGTGCATGCTTGGTAATCGATATGAAAATCGAGAATTTCGCTCTACGGACATATTTCTTCTCGAGACGTCTTCGAGTGGATATTTGACTAGCTCTCGGAGTGGTCGATAGTGTCCACCTGATTTCTCTCTGAGGCTGGCCGGCGCGGCTTATTAGAGAGAGACTTATTGCCCCTCCATGGAATTGTAAAAACTGCTTGTGGACCTAACGGTAAGTCGGAAGCCTCGTCGGGCCGTCCTCCCATGTTTGAACTCCCCTTTGTGGAGTTGAGACCTCCTACATCTTGGTTGAAAGACTACCTCTGTCTCTTCTTTTCTCGCTTCGAGAGTCGGACCGCTCGTTAGAACAGAATACACGTCGGTAGCAGATAGCCATCGTAAGCGTGTCGCTTCAGAGCGAGAACGTCGCGGTATCCGCTCGTAAATCGCGTGATATCGCTCTCTCGCTCAATCGCTGGAATCGGAATCGGAACGTGACGACGGGATCTCCTGGTACCTTCGGCGACAGAATTCGGGATCCGTCCGCTTTCACGGTGTAAGTGGCCGCTCTCGAAGCTCCGGGGAATCCCCCGAACACCGACAGCTTAGGATCTTGCCCTGCTCGGAGCCTCGGCTCCGCGCGATTCGTGCTCGATCTCGGGATCCAGAGTTTCCAATGACGGAATGCTCAAACGAATAAGAGCGGCGAGATGAAGCTCATGGCGAATCCCGGGAGGCTGCCACGTTCTCCGTCTGTCTCGGGTTCGGCTCCGAAGGTCGGATGAAGAGAACTGAAAGTCTACGTCGCGCTTTTCAACGGCTCCTTCAGCCTTGACGACATCGGTACATGGCTCCATCATTTGCGGTGTTGACGACGACGACGACGCCGCCGTCAACACGAGCAGATGAGATGACCTTGGCCAGAAAACGCTTCGTACCATGGAAGTTTTCCGGCCACCGAAGCTCGAGGTTGATCTTTCGTGCGCGAGTCGACCGCGGTATCGAGCTGTCGGCCCTCAAGAGAACGGCAGATTGGTGACTTCTCTCCGTCGAAATCGTTAGAGCCGCAACAAAACATCATAAGTCGAAGCTCGTCCAAACCCCGGGCTAGCCCTTGGCATCATTAGCGCTCCCGATATCACGTCGGCGCCGCATCGGCTTAAAAACCTCTATTCGGTATTCTTGGCCATGGCTCTGGATCAGAATTGTCCGGAAGACCAGAGTGGTCTTCTGGATCCAAAATCACATAAGCTGTCTCCAGTGTGGTCGCGTTGAAAGGAGTTTAGAGCATACTCTCCGAGGAAATGCCTTCTCCGTCAGCGCTTATCCCCTCGCGCCGTCCAATTGATCACTTGGGAATTCCGTCGAGAGCGTGATCTCGGAACGTGACCACTCTCGTTACTGAGGAGGAATCATAGATTTTCTGAGGAGCGTCTTCTATGCAGGCATAGAAGCGTGAGAACTAGCGTGCCATTGAGAGCAGATGCTGACTCACTGTCTCAGAGAGACGGCAACGACCTCTCAAAATTTAAATGCTGGCCGGAATCATTCTAGAGCTTCTCTGAATCGCCGAGTTTGCAATGCATAGCCGAGAGGCCCCGAGACATGGAGACCGTTGGAGTAAAAAAAAACTGGTTGTCTACCTGCGCTCCGGAGCTCGACAACGAGCCTTTGGTGCCTATACTCGAACGTAACGGTTCATCTGTCTGACTTCTCCCTTCCAGTGGGCAAAAAATTGTTGTCTCGTCGGTCTGGCTCCCGTCCACAGTATAGTCGGAGGGGAAACTCCGCCAAGATAGAGATATGTCGTTCCAGAATGTTGGATTCTTCAATGAATTCCTCCAATTATTCCTTCTGTTTCCGATTTCAGTGAGTACCCCAAGGCCCCCAACGACAACAACAATAACGATAACGACGCTGTATCTGATGTTTCGACGACTTCAGTGTACGGAATTGAAGAATTAGATCGACACGCAAAGATCCAACGCATGTACCTCTCTCCGAACGACAGCACCTATTCAAGGTGAGAATTCAGCCGAGAAATATCGTCTCCTCTCTGAATCACCGCTCGAGAACAAATCGAGAGCGGCCGTGTACATTCCCTTCTCTCGCATAACTTTCAGATACGAACAAGAATTCGTCGAGCTCGATCAGATCGGCAGCGGTGAATTCGGCGCCGTATTCAAATGTATCCACAGGCTAGACGGCTGCATCTACGCAATCAAAAAACTCAAGAAACCGATGCAAGGCAGTGCAGCGGAAAAGGCTTCTCTCACAGAAGTTTGGGCTCACGCGGTTCTTGGTGCTAACACTCATGTCGTCAGATATTATTCTGCTTGGGCAGAACTCAACCACATGATCATCCAGAACGAATTCTGTAACGGTGGTAGTCTACAGGATCTGATACAGGAGGTACGTTCTGGTCTTCAGATTCGGGATGATCTCATCCAACACTCTGTCGAGATGTTCGGTGTGTAACACTGGTTATTTCCTTCTAGCAACAGGAGAGCGGAATTCCTATGAGTGAACACCAGTTGCGACAGCTTGGGCTCCACGTTGCGAACGGGCTCAAGTTCATCCATAGTCAGAATCTTGTCCACATGGATATCAAGCCCGGCAATATATTCATATCAAAGTAAGAGAACCTGCCAGGAATCAGAAGAAGTTCTGTACATGTTTGATTATTCTAGAAGAGATAAATCAGGTGATGCTGAGGACAAGATCCCCAAATGATATCGAGAGCTCTATCTAAGCCTTGAATCTTGTCCTTTCTCCCGCAGGAAGGGAACGATACCCGATGACGACGAAAACATTCCCCACGATTTCTCGGACGAGGTCAACGATTTCATCACCTATAAGATAGGCGACCTGGGACTCGTGACGTCGTCGCTCCATCCTGAAGTCGAAGAGGGAGACTGCCGATACATGGCTCCAGAGCTCTTGAAGGACGATTACTCCAATCTCCACAAGGCCGATATCTTCAGCCTAGGTCTCATACTTTATGAACTCGGACATGGCATTACGCTGCCAAAGAACGGCGAGGAGTGGCAAATGCTCCGGAAAGGCCACATCAAGTCCATCCCTAGATTCAGCGAAGACTTCAACAACCTCGTGAAGTCAATGTGTGATCCTGACCCTCGAACGAGGCCTTCGGCACAAGAACTTGTTCGGGATTCTCGACTCGTTCCTTACACCGAAAAATCAAAAGCACAACTCCGTATGGAACTCAACGCGGAACGTTTCAAATGTCACGTTCTAGAGGAACAGCTCCGGCAACTTCGTCAGGAATACTTCGGCAATCGATTGAACGTCAATTTTCTCCGAAACCCGCCCGACTTCCTTGCCAACCGCAGGAGCTATAAAGAGAGTAAAGAGTACCCTCCCGTTAGGCGAAGCCTTTTCGTGGGACGAGGCTGTCCCAGGTCGAATAGCGCGCAGTGATCTTCTTGCATCGCTTCGGAAGTGGTCCAAGAGTTGGTGAAACGTCTTTCAGAGAATGCTCGCTCTGGGCGGAAGTAAGAGATGGCACTTTAATAATTCCAGGACCCCTAGGCTATATACCATTCCATTCCAACAGGGACATCCCTGTGTCACGAAGGAATAGTCATCGAATTCCTCATTCCATCGGATGCCGGTGAACAGTTCTCCGTGATTGAAGAGTTTTAAATTGGTCCCTGTAAAAATAAATTATGTGAGGAAAGAGCTGCGAGCCCGTCATCGGGAAGTCGTCGGATCGGAGCCCGCTGCAGATGGAGTTGGGAATTTTGTGGCGCAACTCTGTGTGACGCGCAGCGGATATGCGACGTGGTGCCCGGTCTGAAACCACTGGAATAGATCTCGGATCCGTGGAAGTGTGATGATGATGATGATGATCACGAGTCATGGGGTTTTGTGGGTGGGATTGAATTCTTGAGAGTAGTGAGCATTCACAGATCGAGATCAATCAGTGGTTGCTGACTGAAGAAATGTGCTGACGACATGCCAAAGAAGGGAAGTTGCGTTTACCGAGAACACCATCAAATGCAAGGAGACATGTGACGAGAGATTTCTGTGCAAGGCTAGAGAAGATACCAGACACGGGACAATGTCCATTATCAAGATTCATGGCTCTCTCGGAGACCAATCAGAGAAATAAGCCACGAGGAATCTGGAGCCAAATATATGCTGCCGCCCTGTAAACGCGAGAGTTCATGTTCGAGTTTCCAGCCGGAACGAACTTTTGATTGGCATTCGGTAAGGTTGATATCTGTCGTATATATCTGAGTCGGGAAGTATCTGTCCGTGTTTGGTGTGAGTTCCGAGTGAGCTGTTGATGAATTTCCTGTGTAGTCTTTCTAAGGTTCTCAGAAATCGATCTTAGCCGTTTAGTTAAATAAAAATCCGACCTGATGAGTTGCCGTTATCATACCTGTGCTGTATCCCTGCGTTTTGCATGTGCCTGATTCGAACGGACTCGGATACATACACGAATGAAGAATGCCCCGGATCATCTCGATGACTGTTTAGCCGATCTTTCGCAAGCTCAGAACGAAAATATATATACCCGAGTATTTGAAGGGGAACTCGGCAATTTTTCCTTCGAATCGCGACCAGAGTACAGCATGGAGCTTGTACCGAGATGGAAATAGAAAGTCCAGTCATGGGAAGGAGCTCACAATCAGTACAGAGATTGTGAACTTTTCGAGTAGCTCTCCGCAGTCGGAAACGATGAAGTATATCGATCTGACTCCGGAGCGGCCAAGGGAGCGGATATATTCTGATAACTCCGGCGTGGTTCCTCGAAGTTCACGAAGAGTGCTGGGTTAACGCCGGATCGCTAGCCGCGGTAACCAACGAAATAGCTAAAAGAAGTCATACGCTCCTGAGACGTTTCCTCCCCCGGAACGCCTGGGCACGAAGACGCTGATGCCTCTATTCTGTGTGAGGCTCACAACCGATGAGCCACTGAGTGAGCGAACAAAGGCAGATAACGGTTCTAGCGATTCGGATCCGGACGAGCAGGAAGTAGTTAGGTTTTTGTTGGCTCGCGACTGATTTCGATTCAATGGGAGTAACAGGAAAGGGTGGTCCCGCGCTCTTGGCTCGTAAAGTGAATTCCGGAGCAATTTCGCGGTCGATTCTAATTCCGGATACCCAGAATCTGGAAGCCATTTCTTCTATGGTTCTCGTTTCTTTTCCTTTCGGGGGCAGATGTCATGGCTGTCTTTCCGAACAAGAGCTTGCCATCTTTGATAGACCTCGTTCGACCAACATCTCCGATGTGTCTACGCCTTCCTTGGGGGAATCAAACCGGAACGGAAAGCGCAGCGCGAGCGAGCGAATTTCAGAACATGAGAGACCGTCGGAGCGACGCGTCGCTCGCGGAGCCTATAACTTTCACAGTCGAAGACAACTGGCGAGAATTGGAGCAATAGTTCCCTGAAGTCTTCCCTGAGTATCAACCTTTCAATCTTATACTCGATATGACTGTGACCTATAAATATACGTCGACGTGCTGTATGTAGAACAATGGCGGCTCTTTCTGAACTAGGCATCGTTCGCCGCCCGATGCTGAAGGTTCTTGTTCCATCAGAAACCGTTCGTAGTTGCTATTGACCTGATTTCAGATTCGGAACCGAAGCTCTTCACCGTTGGAACTTCCTTCAAGGCTCTCGATTCCCCAGTCCGAACTTTATCTTCAGGATCGAATGTCCAGCATGGATGCGTCGGATTCCCGAGCGGCATCACCCCTCTCGACAGCGGCGGGAGACTTCGGAACGAGGTTCGCAGGACCGGGAATGTACCGTTCTAGCCGTTCTAGGAATGATGACAAACTCCGAACTAAGTTCGCGATCATAACCAGGAATCTTACGCTGGAGAACGATGACTTCGAGCGTCGGAGGGCGGGTATGGAGCGCGGAATTCCATTAGGTTTCCAAGCGATGCGATCCGCATCGAATTCGGTCTTTTACACCGAAAGTCCCAAATAGTCGGGGCCGTAAACGCCAGAGGCTTCTTCACCGGGTCCTCATTGGAACCCCATGAGCGGTGATGTGGTAGAAGCGGGGTCCGATGAGTCATCGCTTCATCACTGATGACTTCATGAGTTATGGGCTGTTATGACTCATCACACCTAAGTGAGACACTCACGGGAATTTCCGGTCCAGCCTTTTTTCCATTGAGGCCATCGCCGCCTCAGCACAGGGAAGGAATAGTGGAAGCCACTCCTACCTCCTGATTCCAGTCGTGTGACTGGAATGATTGAAAATGTCGTCTCCCATATCTTCTCGTCATCACATGCCGGCGGAGAATCGTGGTATGTCTCAGAAAGAACGCACTAGAACCGCTCTCGAGAGGGGTGGACGGGTTCGTCTTCCTCGGATTCCTGCCCGTAGACTATGGCGCACGAGTGTACGAGCTGGTGGTAATTGATAATGCGGGACGCAGTAGTTTTGGCAATTGGCGAAGCTTCATGCTCAGGAACCAGTAGGTCTCGGCCATCGCATCGGAGGCGATTTTCAGAGGTATATTTCCCTGCCATAGAGCTCTCCTACCCAATTCCGAAGAATTTGCCACCGGGCTCCGCTCCCTCCTCGAAGGATATCCCGTGAGAGGGTCAGGAACTCTTCGAGTGTAGGAAAGCTCACGTGATGAATGTTGCGCAGTATGTCTCACTTGTCAGGTCTCAGATTGACTCGATTGATGAGGCTCAAATAGTGGAAAAACACCGGGAAAATTAAGTGATTTTGTCGTGCTTCGTTTCCGTTCCTGCTCAGACATCATCCAGGAACGGCCGATGATCGTAATGCTGCGAGACCAGAGACCACTAAAGCCGACCTTCATCGAGCTAGAAATTTGAGTCTTGTTTCTAGGTGCAGCGCGAAGATCCGGTCTCATTTTGCTTCGGACCGTCGACAACGCCACAAAAATGAATGAATATCGCTTTGAATATCGCCTTGAATATCGCTTACGCAAACTGACAGAGCAGCGCGAAAATCCCGCCGCGCCGCTTGTTCTCCCAGACTGGAACTCGTTTCTATTCTGGCCCGAAGTGTCGTTCCAAGGGGACAGGAGAATTCTCGAGATCCGCCAATCAATTTGTCGGCATCTCCCGCACAATTGAGACAACCGGAAGATCGGTGCGTTCCAAGTCATAATCTACTCATGAAATCAATTGAAGCATGCGTCATCGGATCGGCGAGAGCGAAACCGCTCGTGTCATCTAACAGTCACACTTGAATTTTCGCGCCTCTTTTTCAAATTTCTCTCTCCACTTCCCCCGTGACGTCAAGGGCCTCGACGATTCCTATTGGCGGAGCCCTGCGGCGCTAGAAACAGAACTAGCCCTGGCTATGCATGTGTATAAAGTTACCGGCAAATCCTAACAGCCCGTTCAGTCGGAGATTCACTCGCTCGTTGCGGCCGGTCTGTTTCTCGCACCGGTGTTGGTTGTTATACAGTGTACCCAATGTGGTGACGTTTATTGGAGGAATTTGCACCGAGTGAGTGTTCAGCGTAGTGTTATCAATCGTAATCGTTGTCGAGATCCTCTGTTCTCCCTGGAGCTCTTCAACACTGAGAGAATGTCTTCACCGGGCTGTCGTCAACGTCTCGACTTCAGCGATGAGCCTGTCGAAGAACTCAATACCTCGTCTGACTCTGGTTCAGAGCCTGGAATAGTTCCGCGGACCCCGTGGGTAGGCGGTAAGCAGAAGCAAATCGGCAGAGTGACCCCGATTCAGCGTACCCCGGCTACACCTACCCTTGTGAATTCCCCCCCGTACCAAGGTATTCGTACCTTGCGACTTATGGGATCTCCACAAACGCCAAAAACTTTATTCGAACGGAGTCAACAGCCGAAGACCGAACCACGGATTCGAGCGCGGCTCTTCCCGGATAGGGATGGTTCACAGTCGCCAAGAGCGCGACGTTCGAATTGCGGAATCGGCTCCGGAGGGCGCCTGTCAGCTCTGAGCGGAAGACTTCACCAACAACACAGCCAAGATCAGAACCGCTTCGTCGAGACGAATTCGAGTCCCGCGAAGTCTTTCGGAAGTCCTCTGTTCGGCGACCTATCTGCGAAAAGGCCGTCGAGAACGCCGCTGGTTGAAAGGAAACAGGTCAACGTGAATCCATTCACACCGAAGGGATTGCTCGAGTGTCAAAGGAAGCGACCCAGAGAAGAATCTATTTGGTGAGTTTTGATCTTGGAATAGTTAGGTTTTCGAGTCACTCTCTCAGTCTCTTGAGGAGGGAATGGATTATCAGTGGGCTTGTTTGTGAGCAGAAGGGCCGGTGTGACAGCCTCAATCCGCACAACCGTAGAGCTGTTTGACATGTTGGCGCGTGCCCCTCAAAGCGCGACAGGCTAACCGAGTGGAGAAGGTCAATGCTCTTCGACGGACGTAGTACTTCGCGGAATCTCGGCAGCATCGAATTCACGTTCCGAATACTTTTGGATGACTATTGGGACGAGATAAGCGCTATAGAGCCGGCTTCGTGCTCTGACTGTCTTATAAGAGAGCCGTTCCACTCTGACGATTGATTTTGATGGATCCCATCCTCATCTCCCAAGTATCAATGCGTTATCAGCACACTCAAGCGAGCTGCGTCTCAGTGTCTGGACGATATACAACGGAATAGACAATGCGGTCATCATGGCACTGTAACGGTCATCGATTATGAGGAGGAGACAATTGTGGAAGAAATCATCAACTTGAATCCTCGTCCCCTATCTCGAGTGTGCTCTCAGAGTCCTCCCTTCTCCCTTGTTCTACTGTGTTTAGAGGCTGGTCGACTCGAGTATTCACAATAGATTCGTGGAGGTGAAGAAGAAGAAGAAGAAGACGAGTAGTTCTGCGATAGTCTCTCAGGAGCTTGTCGGGCATACCGCTTAATACAACAAATCGCTCATTCGGGCTCCCAACTGGGTGAGACGATCGCAGGGGAACGATCCAAAACGCTTTTTCACGCTGCTGGTCTCAAATTACCTTGATCTTCGAGCGGTCTGATGAGCTCTCGGCGAAGCTTTCTGTACAGCGTGTTCGTCTCCCGGAGTTCTCTTTCTTCCGCGTGGAGCGATCTAGCCTCTCCGAAATTTGATCTCGTCGCCAAACAATGTTGTTGCTGTTGTGCAAGACCCCGCGTATTTCTGATGCACGACCTCAGAAGGAGAGGTAGAAAGCGAGAAACTTTCATCCTAGTTGGAAGCGAAGACCGCGGCGGCAGATGCTCTGATGCTTCTGATCGGAACTCGCGATACGAGAGACCCATTTGCATCTAGCAACGGCGACATCCTCCATCAGCGTCGCCGAATTGACGTTTGACGTCACAACGTCGTACGGTACAAACGTTTCCTGTGTTTGTGTTGGTCCCCATCCTGAATCCGGTTGACGATCGTGTCGTCGTTCTGTTAGTCTTCATCTCCCTACTTCAGATCGACTCACCCAACTTGTCAGTCGGTTAGCGAGCTAAGGACGGAACCGTCAAAGATTTCGACGTCGCTCGTTGAACTCGAGCGCTGCGCCGCCCCGAACGGAACTTGTAATTAGGGAGCGTCACTGTTTGGGATTCGCTTTAGAGTCGATGGTTCAATTCAGATTACAACCAACAGGGAAGGACGGATCGATTGCCACGGGAAGATTCTCTGAAATTTTCATGGTCCCCGAATTTCCGTTCATTACTCATTCTTGTTTACGTAGCGTTCCAATTGAAGCCTGTGTTTTTCCCGACGGATGAGAGGATCAGTCGTCCGCTCGCGAACTCGAGTTCAAGTACCTCTCCGAGTTTCAAACGAACGGTTTCGATCGAACGGCAGATCTGTTAGCCGAGTGAACAGGGGCATTTTTCAAGCTTTCGTCTCATGGCTATCTTTCTTCTCTCCGCCATACCTAGAGCTGTTCTCGAGTCGAGTGCTCGTCATAGTCGGGAAGTGCAGCTGCGTTTTCAGGCCCGCGGTGGGGCATCTGAACTTGGGAAGCGTGGGGAGGGCTGAGCACCGGGGGAGTTACTCGGTTCAGAGGCAGCAGGTAGGCACCTAGCTGGTCCGCTAGTCAGTCAAGTAGGCATGAAGAAAAAGGTTGCTCGTTGTTGTGGCCGCTCGGATGGCTTATTTTTTTCTCTTTCTTCCCGTTCATCGTGATTCGCCGGCCTAGTGAACGACGGGGTAGAGGATGACGACTAGGCTGGCGTCGAGCCACCGTCGGACCGACCGGCCGGCCGATAAACCGAACCTTTTATTGACGACAGCCACTTTTTTCACCCGAATTCAGACAAGGAGAAGAAAGTGTGTTTTGTCGAGAAGCATCCCGCTTTCTGATAGTGGTGCCATGAATAGGACTGCCCCAAGTCGAGTCCGATAGGGCGATTCGCGCTTGATTTGATCGGAGTCGCGAGAATTCAACTCGGGCGCTGAGTTTTCCGCAGAGCATGGCTCTCGCTCTCCTCTAGCGAATCGATCCAAGAGAGAGGAAATGAAAACCGATGCTGCCGCGACAGCGTCGAACGTCATCTCACTCGTCGGGCATAGCTCGACACAATGAATTCGACACCGTTCTTCCGTTTTCTTCGATCGATCCTTCCTTCCGAATCCAAATAGACGCTCACATTTGTGCTGCGGCTTCAGGGCTTAAAACTTCGACAAAAGCGGTGAAAGGCTTAGCCTCCATTCTCGATTTATTCGAATGGATGAAGGAATGTCTCCCACGTCGCTCGGCGGTATACTTGCTCTTTCTGGGTTGACCACCTACCGAGCAGATTACATCGAGTCGAAGTTGATGAGTTAAAACTTCGTGCCTCGGATCTTCGCTCGGTCACAGGAAGCGTCCCTGTCATCGCCGTGCAGAACAAACTTCCCGGTTCCACGGATCGTTTTCCGTGTCTCGTTCATTCCTCGATGCGGAGCCACTTCCACAAGCACCGAGAGCTCCGCGGAATCCGCCGGTCGAGAATGAAATTTCCGGGAGCGCTCCCGACATCCACCGAAATGATTCAATATGTAAATTGAGGTGGTGACTCCATCGTGCATCGGATGGATAGCTCGTGCCTTATACGCTTGTTGTTGTTTGGTGTCGGTCGCCAGCCGGCGAAAACGCTGCCCATCTCCGAAATTGGAGATATCGAACAGCAGCCGGAGATCATGATTAGGATCGTGGGGGAGGAAGATCCCGAACATGACTTCGCCGTGGAGGAACGGCAGCAGAAGTGACAGCAGAAGCCGCAGAAGGGGAAGATGTGAAGGTCAGACGCCATACGGACTTCTCATTAGCGGTTTCTTCGACACAACCGTTTCCACCGTGGGCGACATCGAAACGGACCCGGTGAGGTTTCCGTCCGATGAATGAATCAATTGATTCGCCGCCGATATCGCGCCGTCTTGCGCGCCGTCGATACCTTCGACGGAGAACATGTTCACTTGAGATGAGCTGGAGTCGGAGCAAGGTTTTAGCGAAAAAAACACGGCGAGCGAGAGAAACTCAGAGAGTTCCAATTACCTGAACCCGACAGCGGAGGAAGGGAGAGGATAGCGAGAAGGCGGCGAGCGAGCGAGTTTCTGGCCTTCGTAGAAACTTGAGCGGAAAGAAGCCGACCGGGGTAGGTTCGGCGGTTCGGTGGCGCAATTAGACTGGGTTCAGGGGCATTTTTCGGCAGCTGCCGTTTCGGGGGAGGAGGCCGGAACCCAGTGAACCCCACCCGAAGACGCCATTTAAATTGTGTGCTCGTACGGCGGGCGCGGCTTGACCGAACGTCGGACGGACCAAACAACAGACCGACACACGGACTGACTGACTGACTGACTGACTTACGGTCTGTGTTCCTTTAAAAACCATCCGTCGGATGACCGAGTTGCCCTGGACCTTCCCGACGTTCTCGATGACGAATGGCCGACAGGCCGATCGATCGGTCAATCGGCCAGCAGTTGCAAAAGCGACGGGACCGGCCACCAGACGGTCGAAATTCTCTTCTCGTGACTGAGAATAGAGCTCGACGAATCGTCACAAGGGAAGAGTTACACGGTCACTCCAAAACCAGGCTGCGTTTCCGAAAACACGTCATTGCCGGCATTTCTGTCTCCGTTCTCTCCGATCGTATCTCTGACCGGTTTTCACTGACCGAGGCGGCCGATCGTAGATAAGCCGAACCCATCGGTCGGATAGGTCATCGATTGATAAAGGCGAATTTTTCGGTCTGATCGAAGGACCTGGGCACTATCGGAAGATATTGAAATATCGCCTCAGTCAGCAGCTGTGTCTGGTGATGTGTGAGTGAGACCGCGTGTGGGTATTCGTGAATTCGGCATTTATTGGTTTCGGCGTGAATCTTCACGACCACTAGGCGGAAGAGGCGATATGCCGCTGTCGCTCCCCCGTTTTCATCGACTTAATGTTCACCAGCCTCTATTTTAAACATCGGCGCGAAATTACGTTACGCCTTCTCGAACACTTTCTTCGCTAGCTGGCCAGCTACTTCTGAAGTTTCCCTGACCTTTTGACCAGAACTGTTCCGTGCGACGATTATTATTATTCCTGTCGATAGTCTGTTGCGTAATCAAGTCCGGAGACGAGCGGACCCAGCAGGAGAATTCTCATGAGGCAAGTGAAGCAACAAGCTCAAGGATCTCACGAGAGGAGCCGGTTCCGCCGAAGGAGCTCAACGGAGGTTCCTCGCAGGAGGAAGGAACAAACCGGTGCTCGACGCTGTAGAAAAGTCGTCAGAACGCGACTGTATCGGCAGAAGCAAGTCTCTGCAGCAGCAGTAGTCGGCGACGTAGTCGTCATAACCGCTGCTGTAGTGGTACGTTAGTCATTACGTCGTCTGATCAGCGGCTGGCCACTAGCTTAGGAAGTCGGTTTGTCTCAGTTTGAGCCACCTGAACAGTGCTCGTCGGCTTCTCGTGCATCTGCGTAGCGGTCGCTCAGACGGCGGTTTCGTGAAGACGAGCGGGACTCTTTCGGCAGGAACGATGGCTGGCCAACTCCGTTCGTTGACTGAAAAATAGCCGTCGACACGCGTACCGTCAAGACTATCACCTGCGTCTCTCGCACCGCGCTGCCATGTGACGATTCTTTCGAATTCCCTATGGAGATTTCGTCGATTATTATCATCATCATCGTCGTCGTAACCATATTTTCTCAGCTCTGGCTCCGCTCCGGACAGGACAGGGACTGGTTAACGCTCGTGACGGC